GAACACACAGCTCCGCCTTTAACAAAAGGAACAGAACTGATCCAGCTGTGTTCTCCCCTCCCAACCCAAAACACCCTAACGGCGGTGCTGGCACCAGGAGAGAAATCCTGCCTGAGGGCCGCGGGGAGGAAGGAATCCTAAAAACTTCAGAGCCAGTGGTCCTCAGAAGAGCATTTTCTGGAGACTGAACTAGAATTTTATTTATTTCAAAGGAACTAATGTCATGGCCTAATCTAGCTGTTCCACCTCAGTTACAAAACCAAGTACACGTGACGGAGTTAAGAATTAAGGAAGGAGGAATTCTTATCTGACTGAGACCAATTTCCAAAGTCAAATCTTTATTTCCAGGAGAGTGAGCACAGAAAGACAATAACACATTTCTCCTGCAGCACCCAAGATCATCTAGACAAGATTATCACAGCAGGGGTGGTTAATCATGTAGATTTCCACCTGCAGGCTGCTACTAGTGAGAGACAAGGGATGAAAGAACCGGGATAGCATTTCCTTTTCAGGAAAGCTTGTAAGTATCAGTAAACATTGTGTAAAGTAGTAAACAGAGCCATAATAAACAGCAAGTATAGGGTAATAACAGGAGACAGCTTATATAAACTGTTGAAATGTTCCAGTAACAATAAATCTGATTTTACAACATATACATATAAAATCTTTTCTGATGGAACAATTTTAAAATATTTTCTTCAAGGGACCTAGGGAGAAAAAAAAAAAAATGACAATAAGAAAATATGCATTAAGATTTGGAACCTACCAAACAACTGTGACAATAAAATAATTCAACCCTATAGTTTCAAGGATTTTAGAGGGAACCAGGCTGTCTTTCCCTCTTGCTTCCTCAAGTGGTTCTTCAGACTACTCTGTTAACACCACCAGCTGTCAGTAAGCTGACAAAAACTGAGCTATGATTAGTTCAAAAACTAAGCTATGGTTCTTCACAGCATTGCATTCCAAGTACAAGTATAAAGATCCAAAAATTAACTCGAGTGTATCATTTAACTGACCATCAAACGTAAAAATAAAGGGGTTTTTTTCAGTTAATTACTGCGTAGAAGACTAGATGGCATTTTGTTCCATGAAGAGATCAAGAATATATAAATGTTCCTGACATTATACACATATCCTGCTTGTAGTTTTTCTACATTTATAAGTCACTGGTAGTTTCCCTGCAGTTCTTCCACATGCATAAGGAACTGGTGCACTGTATCCTTATTTAGTTTGGTTTACTGAAAGAGCTTACCTGAAGAATTAAGCTGTCTCCATTTCATCTTCATTTCTATCATAAGGAGGGCTAATCATGGGTTCTGTTATTTCAAATGTTTCTATGATCTCCTGGTTAGAGATGACAAAAAAAGTTACAAGAGCTGAACTATTTCAATTTAATTGCAGTTACCACCATGTAAGTAACAAAGCTTCTCAAACTAAAGCACTATTTCAAATAACTTGGTTTCTTCTGCACATTCCGAGTGACGGACAAAGGAGGAGAGTTCTATGTACTAAAAACTACTTTTTGTCTAAGATTTACTACAAACAGCAGTGAGGAAATCATACGGAATTGTGCTCTAGAATCAAGTATCATATATAAGGGAAGAAACAGACTCCATATTTATGCAGTCAAGTCACTGCACAACTTAAAAGCACTTAAACTGACCAGGCTTCAAGGATCAAAGATTAAATTGCTATTCCAGTTCTCAGTTTTTCTTGTAGTTAAAAGCATTCATCAGATTTGTGATTGTTCTGGAATCCATAAAATTAAATGTAGTGATAATACATTACAGGAACATCTGTCCTCATCAAAGAACATAACAGCACCGCTCTCTGATGCATACTTACACTTAAGAAAAAAGAAATTATTCAAAAGTATCAAATGCTATCTATTATACCTGCCATTCTTGATAGTTCAGAGATATGACAACCTGGTTCCGTGCTCCAGCACTACGCTCATCCTCCCTTCCCTCCTCCTTTCCCTCTTTGTCTTTTACAGGCTCTGTTCAAAAATAGTATTTTCATAATCTTTACACTTGTAAACACAAACAATGTTGTAACAAAAAACTATTATAGTCTTTTAAAGATAGATTTTACCTATTACTGGCAATTTATCATCATCCAGCCTTAATCTTGCAAGACCATCCTAAAAGACAGTAGGATTTAAAGTTTTAGAAATTAGAACTATCTGATTAGGATAATGCACTGAGATTTCATGTTTTTCATTAAAAGTACATAATCATGAACAGGTACATATATTGATAAAGAATCTTAATTGGCATACCAAATAAGAACAAATATTTCAATATGTAGTACTTATTCCTAAAGAATGCAGCTCATATAGGACAGCTGTTAATTGTTGGATTATAAAAGATTTATTAAAAATCATTATTGTTCATTAAATATACTTGAGTTAACCCTTCATAATCACTTCATTATTAAATATAAACCTGCACTTAGTCAAAATATATTTCTAAGTTTTTCCCTTTTCAGAAATTCATTTATTAGACAAACTAAGTATAGTTTGAAGTGCAAATCTAGAGATTGTAAGAGAACGTAAAACGCTGTACTTCACTGACATACTTTCCTCCAACTTCATCAACTCTTCTGTACTCTATGACTACTCTTCTATAATCTAAAATAATGTGAGTTAGGATCCCTTTTTGAAAAGCATATTGACAGAAAAAAATTTCATTATTGTTTTGTTGGTAAAGTGACTGCAGTAAAAAAATCTAGTAAAAACAAAAAAAAATCAGTCTGTCAACTCTCTTTTCTTTTTTATTCAGTTACCAAAACATCATAGACTGTTTGTAGAAAACAAATTAGGATTCCTGGTATTTAAATCTAATCTGTTAATATTAAAGCCCTAACAACAACAAATCAATACTTCCAGGTAATTCCAATATCTAAAATCAGATTTCAATAACATGTCATGACTTACCCTTATAAGGAAGGACACGTGAAACATGTTTTCCACAGTGCGTGCAAAAGAGTGTGGATCAATAACAAAATCAAAGAAGGAAATAGGTGTATCAGCTAGAGATGCAAAAATGCGTTTGTTAAAAAAAAAAAACCAAACAGGTGGTATACACAGAGCTAATACATGTAAAATCTAACTTAAGAAAGTCAGTTCTCCTTTTAAAAGCTAACTAAAGATTTATGTCAATTTAGTCACAATGCTGAATTCCCAGTTGTCCACAGAAAGAAACAAAGTTTCTAGATAATATTATTTGCTTTCATCTATTGCCACACACAAATACATAGGTAGTGACTATTTGATTGCCTTCTAAAAAATGGCATGCTCTAATGAGAGGGAGAGAGTAGGATTTAAATATACTTTGCAATCAAACAGCTACTGATTAGTGTTCATAAAAAATGCACGATCAGTATACATCCTTCAACATAAAGATTTCTACTAGCAAACTCCACTTAATTTTGTTTCTATAGAAGATTAAGAGTACTTATTTCCTCAAAGTAATCCTTTAAAAGCTAAATTGAATCATACTTACAGTCATTTCTAAAATGAGTTTGCAATATTCCCAAGATCCTTTCTACCTCTTTTTCTGTAGCTTCCTGATGAGACTCCTCCATTTTTTTTAACTGGAAAAAAATAAAGTTTCACCTCAAATAACCACTGCTGTAGGACAGGAATACGAAAAGGGCCTTTTATGAAAACATGACATAAAAGATAAAATTTTCTCTCTATGCCACACATGCGCAGTTACAGACACATGCAAACAAAAGACAACTTAGAAAGTGCTTTAGGAATTAATTTCCATCTTATAATATCACACGGAAAGGCCACAGTTTGTATGTTTTGAGCCCATTTACAGGTCTACGTTTACTTTCCAATAGTTCTATGGAACTGGGTTACCCCTACTGGTACGCAGTCTGTAAGTTTACTGAAGAAGTTTATTTATAAGCGTAGAAGGGAAGTTCATTAAGATCTTTAACTTTTTTTTTTTTTTTTTCCCCAGAAAAGGCACCTAAGTATGTATAAGAAGCATCATGGCATGAATTTTCACATGGTCAAAGGACGTGATCATTGTGATTTTACAGATTTGTTCACTACCTGTGAAGAAGGGTACTCCAAATCATCCTTCAAGTATTGTAACCAGCAGAGTACCAAATTCACTTTTCAAGTACAGCCTTCAGTAACCTGTTTGCTGTTCCTGTTAGCTAACACTTTCCCTTTGACCACCTTGCAATAAAGCAAGTTACAGAACCCGTCACACATAACTGTATATCCAACAGAGATTAACACATATGCTGATCATCAGGGTTTACCTAAGCAAACCACAAAGAGCAGTCACTCACTTCTGGAAGCAACTCTCTCAAACCCTCCAGCTCCTCTTCTTCCCAGTACAAACAGTATCAGAATAATTTCTATCACTATTTGGATTATTGTGAAGCAGGCTCTATTTAAAAAGATGTACTCAACATATTGCCTCTGTGTACTGGCATTATCAGCCAGAGGTTCACCATACAACACGGCTTATTTTTTCTGTAAGTGTTCTCAGACTTTTGCCTTTCTGCGAGAATAAGACAGAAAGAATAGGGAAACAGGAGGGGAAAGAAAAAAATTAAGTGAGGAGTGGTTAATTGAGCTAATTAGTTTGCTGTTGTTAATCACATTTCTGTGCAAATGCCACACACTGTTAGACACTTTTTAAATCACATTTCTGTGCAAATGCCACACACTGTTAGACACTTTTTAAATAAAAGCTGAAAACACACTAATGTGAGTAAGTTTCTTTTTTGTTTCCTTTCAAAGCAGCAAGCATCAGAGGAAATAAGCTAATTTGATCTTGAAAAAAATCAGTCTGTAAATCCTATTTTTGAACTTTAAATCAATCTGTGAATCCTATTTCCTTCCACTCAGGGAAGTACTGTAGCCCCCCAAAAAATAAATCAAGCAGCCTAACAATGAAGCCTGAATCTTTTAGTACTACACAGTTGATAACTACAAAACCCAAAACAACATGAGCAGAAAGATCTAGAAGTCACTTTAATAACTATGTCATAACAAATCATTAGTAAAAATACACTTCACAAACCTGAGCAGGCATTGCCCGTTTTTCTTCTCTTCCTGCAGTCTTTTTCTGCCTCTCAATCCGTTGCCTTGGTACAGGAGGATCAGACTTGAAAGATCCCAACCTAACCAAAATAAAAAGAACATACATATGGAAATACGTTTTACATTGTATGCTAAGAAAACTATATATTGAGCAGTTATCTCCTGATAAAAGACCGAAGTACTGACTGACATCTAAAAATAAAGCCTCACCACATTTGGATATTTCTGTAAACAACTACCCCCAAAAGTTGTTCCCAAGATATGCTGGTAGCCTTAATCTGAATTATCAACAGATGTATAAAATTTGATGCAATTATTACAACCTTTTTTATTGAAACTGAAAACTTTAAATCTACTGTTCTTAAAAGTAGTTATGAAATGAAACAAAGTATATGGTTCATATCCACTACTGTCTCCATTTGAATCTATTACAAACTTTTCTGCCTGAAAACTCTCTCCATACAATATTTAACTCTTTTTCATCTATTGTTTAGTTTCTATAACTTCAGGTTTGCAGTAAGCTTTCTTTAAAAAAAAAAAAAAAAAAAAGCCACAGATTTTAAAAATATAGTCCATCAGTAGAACATTCACATTGTCCTGGGTTCAGCTGGGCTGGGATTTTGACCCTTAAATACACTAAGAAGAGAGCCAAAATTTCTCATCAAACAACATGAGTATAAAGTGCTAGATTTAGGCACTTTCTTGAAGTGCCTACCTCTCTCCATTGACTATATAAAGAACTTAGGTCCCTAACTTTGGTTGCCTTGAATCTCTACCGTGTCAGATGCCGAAAGGAGAGAGTGTGAATTGAGACTCAATTCCTAATAGTTCAGCAAGGTACCCAAAAATTCTGCAGCACATATTTTCCCTATCTTGGGTCAGTTGCGACTGCTCAGTTTCAGAAGTCATGGACTGACCATGAAAAAAAAAACCTCAGATCTCAAATAAGAACAGATAGAGACAGAAGTATGTAGTTATTTTCTAAGAACTACACTTTATTATTTAAAACTAACACTTTGTAAATACTGACACATCCTCCATCAAAAGAAGCCCATCATTACTTAAGATGTCAAAATGCAACAAATGAGGAAAAGAGTCTTTCTTGCAGTTAGTTTTGTCTTAAAATCATTAAAATTATTGGAAAATTTTGTTTAGAGCTTACAGCTTGAAAGTGCAAATTGAACTCTGAAATATATCAATTAGCTATCTAACATTAAATATCAGATATCATATGATCGAATTATTATATTCAGCAACTTTCTTACAGTGATACTTATTGGGGGGGTGGAAAAAGTGTAAAAGCATAGAAAACTGAATAATATTCTATCAGCTCTATTGTTGATAATGTAATTGAACCAGATCCTGCTTTCGTAGGCTGACTTTATGGGTTTTAAATTGGAGCACTGTCCGTTAACCAAGGTGACTAAGGGCCATTTGACAGCAGCTAAAGAGGCTCCTATGAAATGGGTTGCCTATGCGAAAGGAGAGATGACGCCAATTCTACATAAGGCAACTTGCCAGTAATCAGGTGATTTCTTCTGCAGGCAGAGTCAGAAAGCAGGGTTCTAAAAGACACAGACATAAAAGTACTCTTGGTCTCTGGGATACTACAATCACCAAGGAAAAGATATAGACCCTGACGGACTGACCTTTCATAACTGTCTGGGAAAGAAAAAAAAAGGTTCCTCTATTCATAGATTCTGGCTGCAGCTTGAGAGAAAGATGAGGAAGGCATCAGCTTTTAAAGGAAAGAGGATCACTTCTACTGGTTTTGCTCTGGAACGGGTAAATCAAGAATAGCTGCTATCTCTAGTAGACACAAGTGATATAATTTTGCAGCCAAGACAAATCAAAGAGAGAAATACTATGAAATATTTTGAAGACAAGAAGTTTATTGTACCATAAGAACACAGACAACACTGAAGTTCTTGTTAACACTCTGTGACCAGAGATTAAATTCTATTCAAGCCCAGAGCATTACAGATAAGAATCAATTAAGACCATTAGCTTGTGCTGCAGTATATACTACTTCCTTAAACTTACATATAGTGAAAAGAAGGTGCTCTTCTGAAGTACTTCTCTGTTTCTTCTCCCAGTTTATGCCAGGCATTACTAGGTAAATAGCCACTCTGAAAATCACTATCATCTTCTTCGACTTCTATGCGATTTATACCCATGAAGGTTAGCTACAAAAGAAAAAAAGCTGCAATGAAAAAATTCCCTTAAAGAAAGCTCAGTAGATACATTTATGGTGAAATACTGTATTATCGTGTTTGTCCTGTGAGATTAATATTTAATATGACTGCATAACAACCTTGACCTTCCTGAAGATACTGTGAAAACAGAAAAACACTCACAGACAGACTTGTGTTCAGCAAGCAATGAAAAAAGTGCTACAGGTAAATAAAATCGCCTATAGAATCACAGAATCATAGAATCATTAAGGTTGGAAAAGACCTCAAGGATCATCAAGTCCAACCCAACACCACCTAACTCACTAAACCATGTCCCTAAGCACCACATCTACACGTTTCTTGAACACCTCCAGGGATGGTGACTCAACCACCTCCCTGGGCAGCCTGTTCCAATGTCTGACCACTCTTTCAGTGAAGAAATGTTTCCTAATATCCAGCCTAAACCTTCCCTGGTGTAACTTGAGGCCATTTCCTCTTGTCCTATCACTTGTTACTTTAGAGAAGAGCCCAGCACCCACCTCACTACACCCTCCTTTCAGGTAGTTGTAGAGAGTGATAAGGTCTCCTCTCAGCCTCCTCTTCTCTAAACCAAACACCCCCAGCTCCCCCAGCCGCTCCTCATAAGACCTGTGCTCCAGACCCTTCACCAGCTTCGTTGCCCTTCTCTGGACTCGCTCCAGCACCTCAATGTCCTCCTTGTGGTGAGGGGCCCAAAACTGAACACAGGATTCAAGGTGCGGCCTCACCAGTGCCGAGTACAGGGGCACAATCCCTGCCCTAGGTCTGCTGGCCACACTTGCTGATGCAGGCCA